CTAGCCGCTTCTAAGCTTTTGGCAATTTCCCCCCAGTCAATCCTTTCAAAGTAGCCAGCTTCGTGGATCTCAGCATAAGCCTGCATGCTCGTGTTGCATTACTTTTTCTTTGTCAACGAGAATGAGAGTCGAATTTTATAAGGATCTAGCATCTTGAAAAGAGATTTTGAATGCATCGTAATATTTAGATTTAATAATTCATGTATATGTATTTATTTATTTCATATTTAATACATATAAAATTTGAAAAGTTTTTATGTTACAATGTATGTGGACATGTCAAACATATAATAAATATTTTAGTTTTTATTAAATACATATATAATATTTATTAATTAAAATTTTAAATTATGTTATTTTTTTATTTTTTTTAGTATCATTTTCATATTTTATTGCTATGTCGTATTTAAAATTATCATATCTAATATCACTGAAAAATATATTTTTAAAATAGAGAGAATTAGATATAAATAAAACTTAAAGATATATCAATGACCATGTTATACCATAAAAAAGATTAAGTAATTATATATATAATTATATATCTACGTTTTCCTTTAGGTTTAATTTGCAAATATATTAAAAGTTATTTCTATGAGTTATTTGAAAATGAGTTTTTGGATGAAAATTTTGATATATTTGAGCAAGCAAAAATAGGTTTCTTTTATGCAAGGACTCTTTCTCCCGAGGAAACTTCATTACACTTGTCTTGACTTTTTATATTAATGACAAAAATAAAAGGAACTTGGGCATCATATCTGATCAAAATCAGTGCTGCACATGCCAATGCCATAGTATATTCTTGTGAGTGTTTAGTAATTTACAACTTCCTTTAGTTCCCAAACACACATTTATATAATACTCAATGGAGAGTGTCATAGCGATTTTTCATCCGGGGACTTGATCACTAGATGTAAAAGTTAAGAAGTTCTCATCAATCTTTTTTATTGAGGTGCGATTGGTCACCAATCTTATTTTTGATCTACGAATTTGAGATTAAGTTCGAAAGTACGATTACGTGTAGGGAATGTTATAACACCTCTATAACGTTAGTCCAAAAATGGTACCAATTAACCTTAAATGATCCTAAAATGGTCTTGTTTGAATAGTCATTTGTATTTTTTTTTTATTATTATTAAAAAATTTTTAAGTTATTTTTGACACTTTCGGTATAACTTAAAATTTTTTTACCTCAAGAGTATTCGAACAAATCACTTATCTCCTTAAAGAGACTCTGTCGTCAGATTTATTTTAATATTTTGAAAGTGAAGTAGACTATAATTTTTGTATATCAATAGTTTTAGTATGATTTTAAAAAAAATAAGAGGAAAATCACCATTTCTAATTC